CGGAAACAGAACACCGACTCGGTCCAGCCGTCCCTCTATCACATCCGCACCAACGGCAGCGCGCTCTGCACCAGGTGCGCTTCCATCGCCTGTTGGCTTCCTGTTTGGTTGTTTCTTTCCCCCCCCTTTTTTTTTTTTTACATGTTTGTTTTCCTCTCCGTCGCTCAGGACCATCCAGATCGGTACCGACTCCAGCAATCTCAACTCTGAGTTCTGCTTCATACTCAAGGTTTGGATTAAAAAAGAAAAAGTTTGATTCCAGTTGAAGTTGACGGAAACTGAATGAGGTTTTTCTTCAGGTGCCATTCGAAAGCACGGATAACCAGGGCATCGTTTACACCTGGGTGGGCCGGGCCGCCGACCCCGACGAGGCCAAGCTGGCCGAGGACATCATGAACTCCATGTTTGACGACACCTACAGCAAACAGGTTAAACAGAGGCTCCATGTCTGTTAGATGTTGTAATTTATGTATTTAAGTTGCATTCACTGAGCGAACATTTTCAGCCTACATCTTTATAGGGTTCCTGGATTCAAAGTGTTTTCAAAGTCTGGAATAAGAAAATGATTTGATTATTATTTTCCCTGGTTATGGTGTTCTAGAGTTATTGGGCTTCCTTAAATTCTTGTTAGCTAATGTGAAATGTGTGTTGTTGCAACAGGTGGGAAGATACGTATCGCTTGCATATTCAAAAAAAAAAAAAATCACCCATCTGTCCTTCCTTTTGATTTTTTCCCATCCTTACAGTTTAAGACGTAAAAGAAAGGGAATAAATAATTTTATACTTCCACCTACCTCCTTTTCAAACAAATGGTTATAGAAAAAATATATATGATGATATGTGAATGTGAATACGGTTGAAATAAATTTAAAAAAAAAAACTAAAAACATATTTTATTAACTTCCTCTATCAGCTATAATAAGTTTGCATTTAATATTTAGATGAATTACTTATGCATTTTATTAAACATTTATTTATTTCATGGTACATATAATTCATCCTTTAATGATTTAGATAATGTTGTCACTTATGGCCCTCCATATTTTATAGAAAACATGAAAACCTTGTCTTTACAGTCTTTTGTGTGATGGCCTGTTTTTGTATTTGTTAATTAAAATGTTTAAATTTGTCGATTTAAAAACCACAAAATCATCTGGTAGGTAATCAACGAGGGCGAGGAGCCGGAGAACTTCTTCTGGGTCGGGATCGGATCTCAGAAAGAGTACGACGAAGACGCAGAGTACATGAAGTACGCCCGGCTCTTCAGGTGAGAGCGCCGCCGCAGCCGTGTCACTTCCTCTACAGTCAAACAGGAACCTCTCAGTGATCACTGACCTATTCTACGGCTTTTCTCGTCCCAGGTGCTCGAACGAGAAGGGTTATTTCTCCGTGTCGGAGAAATGCTCCGACTTCTGCCAGGACGACCTGGCCGACGACGACATCATGCTGCTGGACAACGGCAAGGAGGTGAGCGAGCTCAGTCAGCCCTCAACGCAGCGTCATTGGATCGATTGCTCCCGACTGATCCTTCAGCATGTTTGGGTTTTTCCTTCCTCTGCAGGTTTACATGTGGGTCGGCACTCAGACCAGCCAGGTGGAGATAAAACTGAGTCTGAAAGCCTGTCAGGTGAGCAGCAGCTTCCCGGATCCGCCAGCTTTTTTCACAAACTTTAATGTTTTCTAGTTTTAATTAGGGCTTTAGCGAATATCGATATCGTGTATCGAAGAATATCGATATACGATATTCTGCTCGTAATGCCATATATATATATAATATCGTTTGTCACGATATTCAACAAACAATACTACTCGATACGGTTCAATACAGAGTAATTTTGGTGGCATTTTGACTGTTCCATAGACTTTTATTGAATTAATTGAACTGATGGAGTAATAAATGTTGTTTTTGTTATACATTTGCTTTTTTTTAATGTTAGTTGTTTGATGTTGTGTATTTGGTTATGTAGAAAAGGAACCTTTTTTGTCTTATTACATTACATTAGATATTAGATAATGTAATCTATTTCATTTCATTATTTAATTGCAACTGGTTGTTTCATTACATGTCATTTTTAATGTACATGTGCAACTGGGTAAAAAATGTCATGTGTGATAGCTGTCATTTAATTCATGTGGATTTGACATAAAAAAAATCGATGAATATCGTAGAATCACAGCTTTACTTTTAATTTAAATGACCTTGGAACTCATGTAACCTGATATTTTTACCTGATTTCTTAGAGTCTGTAAACGTTTCTCCTGCTCTCCAGGTTTACATCCAGCACATGCGGGCCAAAGACTCGGAGTATCCGCGCAAGCTGCGCCTGGTGCGGAAGGGAAACGAGCCTCACTGCTTCACCCGCTGCTTCCACGCCTGGGGGCCCTTCAAAACCCCCCCCTCATAGGCCGAACACACACACATACACACACATCCACCCAGCCAATCCGCTGCCACATAGGGGTTTTGTTTAAACCAGTAATCTGAGGTTCCTGTTTTTCCCTCCATCCTGCAGCCAAAACCAACCAGGATTTTAACCCAACGTCCCCAAATCTTCCAGAAAAAAATCCTGGATGCTTAAAGTCTGAGAATGATGGCAAAAATAATGCAATTTTTTTTTCTATGAACTTCTATTTACACAAGCTTGAATTTTACTGTTAAATAAGAGAATTATCTTTTAAAATGTACAGAGGATTTATGAAATCTAAGGGAAGGTTTTTCACCTGACATATCGTCTCTTATTGTGCTGCTTTCACTGGTTTTCAGGGGGACAAGGTGCCGTTCGCTCAGCTTACCCAAGCAGTTTTAAGGCACACATTTAGTTTTTTGTTGATATTTTTCAACTTTGAGGGATTAAACAGGAAATTGAGGAATGTCAGCCTAATACTTATTACATGTTTTTACGCTCCCCCCCCACCCCCCCCCTTTCACTTTAAAGCGCTCTTCTCTTTAGTTTTGTCACTTTTCTTGTATTAATTTCCCACTGATCCTGAATGCAAAACAGCTCTTTGCTGTGGGTGATTTTGTTTCTTGCTGTTTAGTTGTGAAAATCTAGTTTTACATCTATTTGGCCAAAGACGTTTTCTAGAGGTCAGACTGCAAGATTACGTTTTTTTTTGTTTTGTTTTGTTTTTTCTTGTTTCAATGTGCAATCAGTAGAGCCTGGGAGAGGCTGAAACTAAATAACCTTACTGTATTCTTCTGTTGGAGGCGTTTTACAGCAACCAGGCTCAGATCTTCAGAAGACCAGAGTGTTTTCATCATATCACGCGTGTCTCCATGTAAAGAGGGACTTCTGGCTCCATGGAGTCGAATCAAGTTCACCAGATGACTGTAGTTTATCTTGTGATCATGTGACCTGTGTAGAGTGCAGGTATTGGTCCGGGGAAGGGATCAGCTGACTGCAATATGTCCCATACTTCTTTATATTTTTATGAGGTGATTTATATGCCTGTTGGCGTGTGATTCCTGCACATATCCGTGTCTCTAAATGCGCGCGCACACGCTCCTGATGCCACCTGCAGATGCTTTATTTATGTATTTTATATAAAATAAAAACATCACATCAACTTTGTGTTTCTGGTTCTTGTTTAGCATCGAGTTAGAATACAGACCAGGCTGTAATTTTCGTTCTTAAATCTTAAAAATTTGTTTTGACACTCAGAACAGATCCTGCAGCGACCAATACAATCTCAGCATCTGTTTTAAATCATTTTTAAGGGTTGTAATAAACTTTGTTCAAGCTATCAAAAAAAAGCTATGCAAAAACACATTATGTATCTGAAAAAAAAATATTGTGTGGGCAAAAAATGCTGTAAAGCACATATGTGCAACTTCAGTTAAAATTGGACTTATAGGTATCCCTGTATCATCCTGAAGTCAGAGAAGTACCTGGTAAGGTATTGTTTATGTAATCTGAAAGATTTTTTTTTGCATGTCAAATGTCAGCAATTTTGATTGAGGTAGCACATATGTGGTTTACAGAATTTTTTGCCAACATAATTTGTTTTAATTTATTTTGATACATGATTTCCTTTAGTGTTATGGCAACAGATCCAATATCTGTGTCATTCCCTAGACCTTTCAAAATAAAACTAAATTGCACAATAAAAATGCATAAACAAATATCAATCGTCCTAACTAAATTTTATAAAATACAAACAAACCATCTTACAAATAACTTAAATATTTCCTATTTATGGCTCTAACATTTAGCCAATCAATTAACACAAAGTTTTAAATCTTTAAAGCCGCAGGAGAGAAACATGAATCAAACATAAACCGGAGGCCCGCTTTTATTTTGAAAAGCCTGCCTGGGGTCCAATCAGAAACTGAAATTTTAAGTTAACTTCCGTTGCAATCTAACTCTCAGTACGTGCAAGAGGGTTTGATTGTGAATGTGAGAGGGTTTGATAGTTTGACAGTATGTGTAAGAGAGTTTGATAATAAATATAAGAGTTTGTAGGTTTTGGCCTATGGGACCTCTCATATTATGTTTAGCTCTGCTGTTCCTGCCTGTGGTTCTACTGCTGTCAGATTGAAGCCAGGTTGAAATCAACCAATCAGAGCCAGGAGGCGTGTCTTAGAACCGTCAACGCTTCTGCACACGCTGTTTAATGAGCCAATGGCAGGGAAGCAAATTACTGTTTCAGAAAAAATATTTGTCGTCATCAGGGGCTATGCTAACTAGCTTGATATAAGGCTCTAATTAGAGCTTGGACACCCTCTAGTGGTTAGACACAGCCAGAAAGGCTCTATTGAGCTAATTTACTTTGTAGAAATTGTATTTAAGATAATTTTACCGGTGAAAGTACATTCAGACAGGAACGGTTTTAACGGAAGAATGAACTCCATTTTGAAGTGACTGCTCTTACACGGTGCGACTCTGCTCCCTGTACAAATTCATGGCAGAACCAATCTGTTCAATGATGAACATGTGTAATCTGAGCGTCTCTCAATTTAGCATGTTCGCAGTTATAAATTATGACGAACAAACGGAGGGTTTCAGAGTAAATACATTTTATTAACATTCACAATTGTTCATCAACCAAAATGCTAAACAGCTTCATTAATTCCTACAAATGGAACTGAACAACTCTTCTCCTTGGCGGGATTAAAATGCTAAACTGTGCTGCATGTAGCATGAAAGGGTTAATGACATGTCCCATTCAGGACACACACAAAAAAGAAAAACAAAACAAAAAAACACAAAGGTGATTCAATGAGACTACCAGCTGAGCTACATTAGTGAAGTTGTACTCCAAGCCCTTTTGTTTGTTTTTAGGGCTCTGACCTTGTTGACCCCCAGAGAGTCTGTAAAACTTTAAAAGGGTTTAAAAACATGGCAGATGGAAGCTCACTGGCTAAATGACCCACAATGCACCATTTTACACTTTACGAACTTATTGAACCACTTACATTTCCCTCATCTTTCTCCAAATTTTATTCCTATGCATTTTATTTAAATCCCAGTTTTCAACTTGACCAGATGATCAAAAGTCGAACTTTATTTGCTACGTAAACGGTAAATATCATCTTGCGCTGGTTCCCAATAATTTCTCCAGGTGGTTCCCTTTTAAATCACAGTGTGGGATATTCCTCTTTACCCCCCAAACTATTTGTTATTAAAATATCTAGACTTTTCTCATACAAGCGTAAAAACATTCAATAGAGCAACAATCTTAACTGTATAAAACACCTACATTGTTCCAGTACTCGTTTCTTCAATGCCAACATAAACTTTCTCACATCCTGGATAGCCAAAAAAAGAAGAAAAAAAAAAAATCAGCAGTTCTCGTTGGAATCCAGAAGAATGGAGATGCTACAACTTCCCCCCCACAAAAAAATACTTCATTTACCTTTTTTGTTTTAATTTTTTTTTTTAACCACGCTTAAAACCTCGAACCTTCTGTTTTACTGCGATTCCATCCCATTAAGTGGCACGTTTAGCGACGGAGCACCGCGTCCGGCTCCAACCGTGCAGACACCTCACAGAGTTAGCCGGGTCGCATTCAGAGCGCAGAGGAGGAGGACGTGTCCGTCCGTGATGCTGCCTATGCTGGGCCTTCTGTGTCTGCATGTGTGGAGCGGGGCACTGTCGCGTTTCCAAAGTGGTTATGGGTAAGCAGTTTGTTCATCCAGCAGGAGGAATCTACAAGACTTCCTTCCCTGCTTGTACCAGGTCAGTAAGGGCAAAGAGGGAGAGATCCTCGGTGGCTCCATGGCAGATGTTTGTGGTCCAGCACTGAAATCCAGAGGAAACCACTCGAGTTGCTCCAGGAAGCTCTTCAACGAAACCAGAGAGAAATCATGAGTGAACATCAACGGGCTGAAGAAAAGACGTCGCTGACAGAAACAGATTCGTGACACTTCAGAAGAGACGGCGGTGTCATTGTTCACCTACTTAAAGACAAAATGGCTGCTCAAAACCAGCTTGTGACCAGCTTTACTCCGACACCCCTAAATAAAGTGCAACTCAGAAGACGTGCAACTAGTTAACACAGTCCATCTGTTTCCTGGAGGAAAACCTGAAGGGGGCAGCAAAGACTTGAGGAAGAGCTTCAACATATGGCAGGATGGGCAACCCGAATAATACAGCTGCAGTAGAACGGTTTAGATAAGATATGTTTGTGTATTAGAGTGGCCTAGTCAAAGTACAGATGTAAAAACAACCCATTAGGGAGGTGAGGCACTTAAATCTTTTTATTTTCCATCAAATCCAACATGGAGAAATGGGCAAAGCTAATAGACTCATGTACCAAATGACTACAATTGCATCAGTGTTTTGTTTCAGTGAAGGATTGAATCAGGGAGGCGGATAACACATGCCCCCCACACATTTCAGATTTCAACTTTTTTTTTTTTTTGGGGGGGGGGGGGGGGGGGGGTAAAAAAGCGTTTTTGGGGGTTGACAATCTTTAAAACATGAGGCAATAAAAATACTTTCAAAAAAACATTCAGTTTAGAATGCATCTGCGGTGTGTGAGCTTCTAGTCTGACCCACAAGGAGGCAGTAGAGAGCCAAAAATAAAGATGAGATCAAGACATTTCTTATGACTACAAAACCATATTTACTTAAATGTCTAACTTCTTGTTATGCGGGCAGTTTATTTTGTCTATGTCGGTCTTAAAACACACTGCTGGATGGAAATGTGGGAATGTGTGTGTGTGTGTGTGTGTGTGTGTGTGTGTGTGCGAGCCTCTGAGCGAACCGCTGACGGCGCCTGGAATGCGGCGCCCAGACAGAACCGCTCTTTGAAGCTCGAACACACCGGACCGGCTCAATCACAAACAGGTGCGTGCGCAAAGAAAACCCCTCCAGTCTGACGCGTCCGTCAACGAAAGCCAATCTGCGGCTTCAGTTTTTGTAAGCAGCAGCTGCTCCTCACCTCCTCAGTTGATGAGGATGCCAGCGGAGCGTCCCTCCTCCTCCTTCATGTTCCTCAGGTTGTTCTCGGCCTCGTCCACGGTCCTGAAACACAAGGCGCTCCCGATTGGTTTGGGGCCTCCCGAAGAAACGCGAGCGGAGACTTGTGGTGTGGCGCTTACGTTAGAAAGTCCCTGACGTCCTCCACGGTGATCTCCCCGGTGGTGTCCAGGGTGAGGTCGGCGCAGCTGAGGGGGGAGTCCAGCGGCGTCTCCAGGATGGGAGAAGACAGGGTGCAGGGAGACGCCTCCGTTCGCCCTGAGGGGAAGGAATCCGCACATCGTAAATGATTCACTTTGCACCCGGGCTGCTGATCGTGGTGTGTGGCAGGGAGACACATGCTTGGTGTAAAGATGCGTTTCCATTGCAAATGTGGGCTAAATTCTGTGATATTCTGCTAAAGTCGGGGGAGAGGGAGGAAAAAAATCTATTTCACAATTAAAATCACATATTAAGTAAAAAAAATACAAAAAAACAAAAAACAAACATGCAGCGCCATCATTCTCCTACCACTTCCTGTTTTCATCTTTTCTGCCAGTAGTAACATCTGGTTGTTGATCACATGACGAGTGTGATGTGAAAAAAGCGTTTCCCTTGCAGCGCTGTGAAACGTACTAGCTTCTATAAAGCTAAAAACACACTTCATCCTAGCGCAAAAACTAACTTTATATCGAAAACAAGCATTTTTAAAAAATTTTATTTGCCATGTTTTCATTAAGCAAATTTATTTTCGAAATGTCAAATTGCGCAATTTTAAGTTTAATGGAAATGCAGCTAAAGACACAATCTGAAAGTTGCTGAGTGATGCTAAACCAGACTGAGCTTAACTTTTCAAACTTCTAGTTGGTCTTCATTTTAAGGTAACATGACTAATATTTCATTTGCAAAACAAACACAAACAAAACAAAAAACGACCTCTGCTACTCTGCTAAAAGCTTATAAACTTCTAAGTTTGAACTTTAAAAAATAAAGTCATCCTAAAAGTTCCATCTTTCATTATTCTCTCATTTAGAAACAAGAAAATAATTGTAGTCATCATAACTGACCTAAACAGTTTTTTTATACATCTCTTGTAAAAATTTAGCTTCAGCTGCATGTTTAAAAACAAATAAAGTTATGTGTTGCATTTAGTTTGTTATAGTGCTGCACTTTAAAGCAGCTATGTTTTAAAAAAAAACCCATCTATTTCTAAAGCATTAATTACAATGATGAATATTGGCTAAATGGCTAAAAATATCACTACACTCAAGCATTTAGAAAGCTGGCTCATATAAAAATGTCAATATTTAAAAACTGCTGTAAAACTGCCAAATAACCAGAAAGTGCAGGGTAAAAAACAGAAAATAAAAGAAACTGAGCCGTTTCCACAACAACCGGTGCTCCCTGCCAGAGATGGGAGAGGCAACTGGGGCATGCTCAATGGTTGCCATGGAGACTGGACAGGACAAGCCTCCCTTCGCCCCCCCTGAGAGGCATGGTCAGGGTTTTGGAGGCTTCAGAGAGTTGTTTAAAAATAAAAACGTTATAATAGATAGGGAAGAGCGAGGGGGCGGGAAGAGAACAAGAGAGGGTGCGATCAGACGTACCCTCAGCCTGACCCGTTTGGTTTCTGTGGGTCCCGTTGGCCTGCGGGTGCATTGTAGTACCATCGCTGTGGAGACACACACACACACACACACACACACACACACACATATATAACACTTAGTCTGGCAGCAAATACAGTAGTAAAGCTCAGTGACAGTTTAGTTTTTATTTGGTTGTGAAGCATAAGGAGAACAGCAGGCTTAGTAGATTTTACTGACGGCAAAACTATTAGAGATCAACAGCAGCAAAAAGACGTTTCTGAAAGGATCATGTCGTTAACCTTCACATGGAGTTTTATTTTCATGAGGACAGAGTCATTTTCAAACAGCGCCTGCTTGTTCTGACTCTGGACTGAAAGCTGAAAAACACAGAAAAGAAAAGAAACACTTTTCAGCGTCGCTGATCGAGTCTCTACATTGCAAAACGAGTTTTGTGATCGGCCTGGATAAGACCCGTCAACATGCAATTAATCCTCTAGACGAACAGAAGTAAACACTCTCAGTCCTCAGAAGAACACGGATTCATCCAGAACCCAAAGCAAGCGACTCGGCCTCAAAGTTGGGAAAGAAGATCGGTTTCTGTTGTGTAACTCGTGTTAATTACAGTTTTTATCGTTTGGGAAGTGAGCAAAGTAATTGTTTCTGTTTTGCAAGAGGAATTCGTCTTCACTGCTGCTGAACGCATGACTTCAGCCGCTCAGCAGCCTGAATATGAGAAACTCAGTAACTCTCCACCACAAGGAGCATTGGCAACCATTAGTGGTTCATATCTTTAGATATCATAAAGAAAGACTCTGGTTTCTGTTTGTATTGTAGAGACTGACAGAGCAGAGACCTTAGAATATTTAGAAGAAAAAGCAAAAGATGTTGAACACCAACTGACCTGCTGCTGCCTTTGACTCGAGTTTCAGTTTTGAACTCTTGACTACTGACAGTGACTTTCAGCCTACTTGAATCTTCTGGTTATGAATAATGATTCATATTTGGAGAAGAGCCGATTTACTGTCATCACAAAACAAACAGTTCCATTTTTAACCTCTTTAGCTCCTTACACGACGTTGTTAGCACAGATTAGAAGAACAGAGCTGTAGAAAGCAGGTCATTACGATTACACAGCATATTTGCTACAACACGTTAAGCCTTCCTGTTATCTGCTGGAAGTCATGCACTCTCTCTCTCAACTTAAATAAATAGAAAGAATAACAGAATTTAGCTGGTAGCACTTGTGGAGCATTCAATGACTGGATAAAAGTCAGACTTTTCCCTGTTTTAGATGAGTTGGCCTGTGACTGGAGTCAGTTAGGTTGATTTCCTGGTGATCAGATCAGATATTGATTTTAGTTGCAGGACTCAAAATTTTTAATTGAGTTCAGTTTCAGCGTCTGTAAATAAGCGCATTTTAATCAAAAAACATACATCGGCAAAAACATTTTCAATTCAAAAATCCTTTTTGCTGCCAAAGTGTTGAATAAATAGAAATATGAGATAAACAACAAATATATTTACTGATTTTAGTCTCATTCAGATTAGTGCAAAGTGCTTTCAAGTGTTTCAGGAATCCAGGATCATTCATGGAACTTCTTTTAAAAAAATAAATAAATAAATAAAACACAAACACTGCGGACGCTGATAACTGCAACATGTTTAACATTAAGTTGGTATTTCAGGCTATAATAGCTACTCTATTAGACCAACTCCTTCTGCCTCAACAATAGTCGTTTCCAGCATCTCGTTAGTTTTTGTCATTTCTGATCCGTCCAAATATATGAAGAATTATTCCAGTAGATAATTAAATGTTCCTGTATTATAGAGTAAAAGTTTAAGAGCCGAAAGCTTCAAAGTTGCACGTTTTCAGAGTGCGTTACCTGGTAGCTGTGGGCTCTAGTGGTCGGTCCAGCTGCACAGAGCAGAGCGGTTCTGTTAGAACCTTGGCAGAAAGGGAAAACCTTTCATATTCTGAAGGGGAGATCAGGTAAAACCCTGCGGAAAACAACAAAACGCACATCAACCTTTGGGGATGGAGGAGGATTCGGCCAGACCGAATCGCTTTCTGTGCCTCTCGGATGTAAACGTGTCTGATTGTTAACCGGTGAAGGATTTTTTCGGAGCCTCACCCTGCCCGTTTTTGGTGAAGACACAGGACGCAATGCCACTGATGTCCTCCTTGCGGATGCAGTCGTATCGCACCTGGACACACGCAACGCACAATTAGGAGCACACGGTGAAATCTCCTTGGGCGGGACGCGTCGTCCTGCTCCTACCTGAGGTCGGAGGGCAGGTATGGTGAAGAGGTGCATGTCTCCGAGGTTGGTGAGGCAGACGAGTGTGTGTTCGCTGTAGTCTTCCTGAGCAGCAGAGAGGAAGAGAACCAAGGCCACTTTCCTCACCCGGCAGCCTTCGTGAGCTGTCAACTTGAACTTGGTCTTGGCGCTCACTTTGGGGAGCGAGAACACCTGCGGGAGGAGGACGGTTAAAAACTGCAACTTTGGGAGCGATGAACAAAAGCTCAACTCGTCTTTCTGGCTGCACCTTGAGCTGCTCCTCCGAGGCGATGAGGACAGAGTGAGCGTTGGTCATGTCCGGAGCGATGGCGAGGTCCTGTGAGGCTTCGTACGGATCCGGTAGCGGTTTCCCTCGCCCGTCCAGGATGCTGATGGACACCACGGGCGCTCTGTGCATCAGCTGGATCTCCTTACCCAGCACCGCCTCCACGCACGTGCCGCCCTCGTTCGCTCCACCCCGCTCACACGCGCGGCCCGATCCCACGCCGGGGACCTCCAGAGCGTAGGCGTACACACTGCCCGAGTTGGTGCCGGCCCAAAGCGTGGGGCCATGGTGTGTACCTGACACATACACACACACCGGGTTGAGAGTGATAAACATCGAAATACAGTGAAATTAAAAACCATTCCTACCCCAAAAACCTTTGTCATGTTAACAATGATCAGCAACACAAAAATGTTAAATGATGCATCGACAATTTGCATCAAGATTTGAAAACTTGCTGCTCACAATCACTCTTCTTCCAATCAGACTCAGCTTGAGCAATTTTGCAACAAAGCGAGAATAAAAGTTTCCGTTTTAAAGACGCGCAAAACTGGTGGCAACAAACCCCAAGAGTCTTGTTGCTGCAAATCCAGCAAAAGTTGGTTCTACTGGTATTTATACTTTTAAATTTCAGTAAAACGTCGAGGCTTTGATGGGATGAAACGTGAGGAGAATCAAAGGATAAGGACTTTCTGAGACGCTCGTCAACCAAATGCAGAAAAATAAATGCTGAAACTATATTTTTAGAGTAAGCAGGACAAACCGTCACGCAGAAATGTGTCAGCGAAGCAGAGACATCTGACCACTCCTGACAATGAGTCGTCCGCTGACCGAGGCTCGATCCGTCGCTGCACAGGAGCCACTTCCTCCTGCTCTGCCAAAGCCGCGTTGGCCTCCTGAACCTACGGCAGAGACGTCGTTAGCGGTCTGCAGAGCCCGGCTCGGTCCACACGTCACAGGAGGGACGCGTCTCACCTTGCTGGTTGGGGTGGTGATGGCTCGTTTCTTTCCAGACACCCTGCTCTTACGGATGCGTCTGAAGCTTTGTCGAAGGGATTTCTTTAAGGACTTGACCCTGGACAGCGGACCCTCCATCGCCAGCGAGTCGTTAGGATGCAGGGTGCACCTGAGAGAGAGTGGGGAGCAGACTTCGATTAAATTATTCAATATTTACAAATCATACAACAAAATGAGAGACAAGGATGACAAAAGACGTAGAATGAGCTGTTTATGCAAGGATTTGTACATTTGTACATCTTAAAATGGAAAAAAAGATAGTTTAAATTCACTAGAATGATATTTTTTACTGTTCTGAATAATGCATTGCTAGAGTATCTGACGTTCTACTACAGTGAAAGGTTAATATAAAACAGAACAAAATTTAAAATGTCTCACACACACAATACACACCCGACTGGTCTGAGAACAAAACAAAAACTCTCACAACGTCGATAACGTTGCTTAATGTAAAAATATAAGTAAACCTTTATTTCAATTACACAGATCAATTCAGGTCATTGAGCCATTAGGAATAATAAATAATCAAAACAATCCAAACAAATCATGTGAACATAAATAACCTTCCTGCTCAGATTAAATCCTAAAAACTTTCTGGTATTTAGTAAATAGAAATGGTTTTGGTTATAATAACTGATTGAAAATAAGAAATTTTCGGTCTGGTTTAACTTCAGATGGTGAGAAAAAAAAAAAAGTCTCTTCTGGTTTCAACGTAACTTTTTCCAAAGCTGCTCAGTTTAAATTTCAAGCACCTCCAATGACTTTATACAGAAATCACCTTGTTGGAATTCAAGGATTTTCAAGGACTTCAAGCACCATCATGATCCCCCAAACGTCGCCTTCCTCACCTCGCCAGCACCGTGTTTCGCCGGTGGTAGTCGAACAGGCCGAACCCGTGACTCGTCCCGAAGGCGATCAGGTTCCACTCCGTGTGCAGCGCCACCGCCGTGACCGACGCGGGCGGCAGGCACTGGACCAGCACCTGCGGCTGGAAGCCTGGCGGGAAGGGTGCGGGTTTGAGGCGCGCCTCCAGCTTGTCGTGGCCCTTCCAGGTGAAGCCCTCCCTGTCCTGCAGCAGGTCCACCACCGACACGTCCACCGAGTGGTCCGACGGCTCGTCGTTGAGGGCCAGGACGATCACCTGTGGAGGGACGGTTTCATCATTTCAGGGCAAACGGTTTGCTCTGCGTGACGTCAACATGTCCAGCGAGACGCACTTTCAATTAGTCTAAGCTGCATTTTCAAGGTTTTCCTTTGAGGTTCGACGTTTTTTACTCATTTTCTGATTGTCGTTTTGCTCCGGAGCACAAAGGATAAAAGCTTTGAAGGTACAATAAAAGGTAATGTGATGGCTCCACGTTTATCCAGCCTCCCGGCGGTCGGAGCATCACAGCAGATAAACTGGCATTTCCATCATGCTAAGTGTCCTCTTGTAGAGAGGCCTGCAGGGTCTGGTTGAAATTCAGCAACTCCATTAGCTGGAAACACGAGTTTAACCCGTCTTACATGACAAAAACTGACGGCCAGGTCTCGCTCCATCAGTGTTTTCCTTTGCTTCCACTTAGTTCCTTCTGTGAGAAGGGGAGCGAAGGAAAACACTTCCAGATGACAATGACGCAGGACGTCAACATTTTTTCCAGCTTTGAAAATAGATGCGACAAACTTAGCAAATATGAAGCCACAGGGAATGTGTGTTGTAAACAAAGCAAACAGTGTGAGACTTTTCTTTTCAAAGAGTGTCAAACATTAGGAGACTCTCTAAGTGAAGCTGATGTTGTAGTTACACAGAGTACTGAACGTGCTCTGCTGAAAACTACATTTACTTATTTTGGTTGTTTTATTTTGTTTTGCCATAGAAAGAGTTGGACAGGTGAGGTGAGGAAACGGATGCTCACCTGGCCGGCTGTTCCTGCCACCACCAGCTTGCTGCTGTATTTGCACAGGCTGATTTTCTGGATGCCGAGTCTGGGATCGTCGCTGTACGGGTCAAAGCAGCCCACCTGCACAGGCAAAAAGGAAGGTTACCGTCATTCATTCCTGAAAAAACAACAACAAAAAACACTATAGATAATTTTTAGGGCTGCAACTAATTATTTTATTAATCCCTTGATTATTCTGATTAATGTTTTTTTTTTTTTTTTAATGGCACGTTCTACAGATTTTACATTTAACCACTTCAGCCCTTTTTATGCAGAATTTCAGGATGCAAATATACAAATAATCCAATTACTTTCAGAAAAAAATAACATTTTATTGCATAAAATGCTTTCAGTGAAGCTAAAACGACTTGAGGAGTTTCGGCTGGAACATATTTACAGACAAAGGTGTTTTCATCTTAAATGCAAAATATATATATTCTTTCTACAGTCTTGGCTTAATTACTGATCTGAAGATGGTCATTTTTTTCCATATTGTCTTTTTTTTTTAAGTCTGTTTACTTCAGTTAACTATTAATAATTTACTAAATTAGTTGACAATTATTTCAATAACTGATTAATCGCAATTAATCCGATTAATCATTTCAGCCCCGTCGTTTTTTAATAGTGGTTTATTGCCATCTAACAATTTGTGACACAATCTTGACATTAGCATGAGGAAATCGAGGACTTCTGACACAAACTAGGACAAGAACCGAGTCGTCTCGATCCGATTTCGGCTGCAACCTGAACCTCCTTCCTTCCTCGTTTATTAGCAGCCCTTCCACCCTTAAACATGCACATTAATCTGTCGCTCTCCCACATAGAGACGGCAGGAATTCCTGCAGAATCTGGCACACATGGAGGCAGAGTCTCTGCAAAACAAAATGCTGGAGAAGCTGAACGCAAACACTCGCAGACATGCACACAAGAACGGAGGGAGAGAGAAAGAGAGAGAAAGAGAGAGAGAGAAAGAGAGAGAAAGAGAGAGAGAGAGCCCATAGGTCTGGTTTTCATTACAGCTGAGAAAAGAGGGAAGGTCTCTTCATCCCATATGAGGGCCACATTCCTCAACATGCAGCTCTGTTACCATGAGACCCAAGAGGAGAAATGCGAGTGTAGCAAGAGAGTTGGAAAGACGAAACAATGCAAAAGGGAAAAAAAAGAAACAAAAACCTTTCTTTAAAGTGTTCAAGCCTGTATTTTTGCCGTCTTCTGAACTCATCTTCGTTTCACCTGAAATTCCAGCTGATGTGAGCTAATCCTGCTGACACACTGATACTCGCTCGCTGACGTGTGGCGACTCATCTCCAAATCCTTTACTTCCCGACTGCTGAAATTACTCACGCTCCAAATACAAGTCAGCTTATTTAAACCACAATCAGATGTTCAAAGCCAAAGTTTTAGCTACAAACGCTGGCATCAAAACGCATGAAAAGCTTCCGATGGGAAAACGAGGCCACAGACGTTCAGGGACCGAATTGGTTCCCACAGCTGGTAAAACCGAACCCTGGAGAGGAGAGCTCGGTCGGAGTCGTCCTTTCGGTCAGTACCTTCCTGAAAGGCGGCCATTCCTCCTCCTGCTGCATGTCAGGGTCATTGCTGGGGTCTGGCGGCTCGTCGCAGTCGGTGTGGAAGACGTTGGCCGTGCCGAGCTTGTAGAGCGGCGTGAGGGCGACGCCTGACGCGTCCCAGAAGCGCACCGTCCCGTCCTCGTGCCTGGAAACGTCAGAGGAAAAAAATCAGAGAAAATCAAACAAAGTCATGACTGATGAGTGTAGCTCAGCACATCAGAGGGGGAATTTTTCTAAAATAAAACACAATTTCCATCTCTTTTATTCTTTTACTTTCTCTTTTTTTTAAGATGAAAATGTTTCAAATGTTTCGTCTTTGATCTTTTTGTGGCGGCGGCTTTTCTAGATGAATTTCGCATTTTATTTCTTTGTTTTTCCCAAATAGAAAAGCACATTTCCAGCATAGAGACTGAATCTTCTAGTGTCTATTTGTAAAAAAAAAAAAAAAACCCTCCAAGATATTAGAAGACCTTATGATGCTGATAAATGTTGGGTAAATATTATAATGATAATATCCTTTCTCTCCCTCTCCTCTCATATCTGCTTCCATTTGCAGCTGAGGCATCGTCTACCTGGATAAATATTATACTGGCATTAAAAATACAAGTTTATAACACTTTGAATACATCAGAAAACAACTACCGAACTCCAACAATCCTAATATTGCATAAACAATATATTCACAATATGTTTGCGAGCCTTTAATTTGTAGCTTAACTAAAATAGTAACATCGACCAATCAGGTTTCTTTATGCACAAAGAATCGCAAGAGTGCAAAATATTCAACTAAATTTCATATTCAATCTGCTCAGTTTTTACTTTCTTAATGGGCGATTTGTGAAGCTAGTGCATGGAACATGTTAAAAGTCAAAAATTCAGGGCGTCCAGTTTGCACGGGCTGGTTATCAGTCTCAATTATTAGCAAAGCTGTAAAGCTGCAGTTTGAAAACCACTGAAATATCCCGTCGTTCCTGTGGTTTGGTTCAAAGTCCTTCCACTGAGACGCGGTAGAAAGAGCGAGCCAGAGTGGCCGGGGCTTTCCCCAACTTTTACAGGGCGAAAGTAACGCTGCCTTTCTGTCTGTTCTGCTGCTGTGCACTGCCAGACAGCTGGCTGAAACGAAGCTGTTACCAGAAAACACAAACTGCCACGGACTGCCAAGTCGACGCATCAGACCTCAAAATTAAAACGATACATTTCACAGATAAAATGAAAGCAGAAATCTGTTTTTGTGTTGAATGGCAGCAGAAATGCTGCTTCACACTCTGGTTTCTGATTAAATTGATCATTCCATGAAAATCTAAAACCAGATCAAGTCTAACTCCTGGCAGGTTTAGCCGGATCAGCTTGTCGGATCCAGTCCGAGGTTCCGGCTGCTCTTGTGGTTGTTCCTCCTCTTGAGCGTCAGAAATGGCGTGGAAAACATGCTCCTCTTTATGCTGCGTGTAAAACTGAGGTTTAGTAAGTGTGTTAAAGCACAAACCCGGTCAAAAGCAGCTCTTGCTGTTTGGGTGGAGGCGCCAGATTCTTTCCTCCACATATGGGCCAGCTCTGCACAAACAGGGGAGAAAAAAAAAGAAAAGAAAAGGAGTTGGGGCAAATTAGGACCCTAAAAAAAGCAGCAGTAATTGTTTGCTTACTAAATTGCCCCGAACAAATAAATGCTTCTGCTTTGTTTTCCCCGTCGTCGTGACGTCAGCTCGAACGTTTACTGCGGTGAACATATTCTCCGCTCTTCTGCTGCCTCCAGTCTCTCTGGTTTTGCCGCACGCAGAACCAACAAAGAGCAGCGATTTGCGAACGCAGCAGCGGCAGCTGTTTGTGTCCGTCTGCACGAGTCTAATCTGCCACCGATCAAACAGATGATCCAAGCTAAAAGACGGACGGCTAACACCTGCTGTTTAAGCTAGGGACTAGGCCTGTTGCAATAAATCAGTTAATCACTCAATAATTTACATTTGCATGATTTGTTTTCATCTTTTCTCTCTGGTTCTACCAAAAACTGGGTGATAAAAGTCTTCAGTCTGGCGCTTCGGTCTGAACTAGTCGCTTGTTTGAAGGACAATCTGCATAATTCATTTTATTTGTAGTTTCTGTTTTGTTTATTTTATCCCAGTAAAACATTCATTAGGATTTAATTGATGAATGAGTTCTTGCATTACTACACCATTACCAGTATATCACTTGAAAATAGCCTCAAAACAACATTACTGTTTATCGCAGTAACTTCTGGAACAATTTGTCGTCTAGCAACATTTGTTATCGCGACAGGCCGACTAAGAACGCATCGTGTTTGTTTCCTCTTCTTAAATCAGAACTTTAACTCAGCTTAACTTTTACGGTTTTTAATGTGATCCATCACATTAAAACCCCTGAAGAAACAAGGCTTTTCTCTATTCTGATTTCTTTTAAACTTTAAAATAAATCCGAACATAGAGAGTTACCCAAGCTCCATCCAACATGTCGGGTTAAGCCGTTTACCTCGGATTCCCACAAAATGATTATCCGGATTACACATCTAACCCACTTTAAAAACCAACCCTGGTGTTTACAGCGACTTGCCAACAGATAAATCTTCCTTTAAGCCTGCTGGGTTTGAGGAAAAGGCCTTTTTCCTCCGCCAGCGGCTCCTCACCATGTGTGTGTGCTGCCGGCTCCGCTGCGCCTTGCCCGCGTTGATTAACCTCTCCCAGAGTTTAGGAGGCACGCTGGAGATGTGGCAGGAGCAGGTGATGGCTGACGAGTGGAGGGGAGCGAGGTAGGGCGTGGGCAGGGTGGGCCAACCCGGGGTCTGCAGGTCGATCACAACCAGCTCCTCTTCCAGCAGCACCACTAAAGCCGACGGGTCGTCGAACTCTGGGAGGGGGGAGAGGAAAAGCTGATTGAAGAGGGAAAGGGAATAAAACACATCTTAATAAAATAGAATAGAAAAGTGATCCAGTGTCTGGTTCAGGAGTGTGTGTGTGTGTGTGTGTGTGTGTGTGTGTGTGTGGGGTGAAGCATGAAGCACTAATGGCAGCTGCACTTCACGCCTTAATCTTCCTCCAAACTCTCTAATGGCCTTGCTTCACCAGGTTACACCAATTGCTAGTACACGTTTTGTTTTTATTAAAATAAACCTTTTCCTTCCACTAAACTTTCCACCAATATGTTTGCATCTAGAACTCGAAACAGTTTCTGTGCAAATAAAACTGTTGTAGTTTATGGAAGGTGTTAACGACCGTCTGGTGATTTTTTTTTTTTGCATGGCCTTAGATGATATTTAGATTTTCTGAGAAAATACACGTAATTTTTTTTAAATTAATAAAATATTCTGTTCATAAATAATACTGGGTTACAAAAAAATATTTTTTGGAAGTTGTCTATGTTTTTCCAACTGAATTAGGACGATTTTACAATCTAAAGATGACAAATTTTTCTCAGTCAGTTTTATATTTTAATTTGATTCAGGGAAATCCGATCTTCGGACTAAATTGGTTACATTTTTGTGACATTATCAGCTCATTCCCGTTAACATTACTCATCCAAAATGGAAAAAAAATGTTTTCTAACAAAGTGTATTAATGAAATGTTACAATCTTGGATTTCTGTAAGTTGAATAATAAACACTGATGAGGGTTAGTGCACATAAACTGAACATTATGTCTTCATTGTGTAAAATTCTCTGTCTCTTTTCTGTCCTCATGGAGTCTCTCTTCCTGCTCATCACTCACTGGTCCCAGATTCTCAGGAAACCGATCCAGATGCGAGAACAAGTCCTGCATTTTGATGTTCATGTTGCGTTAGTTCAGAAAGTTGACCCGATTGAGCAAAACCATTGTTATTTTTGGATTTAGCTCCTCAAAATGACCCTAAAACCCCTGAAACAATTTTTTTCTGAAATGTAAAATGAGAGCTTCACTTTTAAAATCAGTGAATAAATCCAAGTAGATGGCATTGTAAATTCTCTAATGAGGGTGGGAGCGTCACCTCTGTCCGGCTCCATGTTGTGGATGGTGAAGAAGTCGATGACTCGGGATGTGAAGTCCAGAGTGACGTGCTCTTTGTCCTGCTGGATGGTCAGACAGTGGCGGTCGCCGTAGCTGGCTCTGGGCATCCCCCCGCTGTACAGCAGCACCGGAGAACTGAGACACAAAACTGTAGCGATTACCAGGCTGACTGTCGTTTTACTACAAGTTACTCTCAGGACGGGAGAAGATAAACAGAGACCATCAGGAAAGTAGAGTTTTGATGCATTTCCATGGTCTTGAAGGCCAATATTGCTCACAGTGAAGTTGTGATGACTGGAGCAATTTGACTGTGGATAAATTTACTTCAAAAAGATCCATGGGTTTCAACTCCCTTTTACAAACAAAAAGGGTTTCTGTAATTTCAACCGATTGTTTCAATTAGAAGCCGTTTTGTTTCAAGTACAAAAATCCCTGACCACAAAGCAGACGTTAAAACGCCGACTCTTTGTGCTCCGTTATGGCAGAAATGTGAGACGGTTTCGACATCAAACAAATCAAAACACTCACCCCGTCTGTGAAGTCCTCCAGAGGATTTTGTTGATGGCTTTGCAAGGAAACGGACCTGTGAGGAAAACGCTGCAACTGTGAGAATGCAAACTAAAATCCCTCGCATCTTTTAGTCCAAACAACAGAAAAATCTCATTTAAATCTAAAACTTCCACAAAACACGACTGAACTAACAAATGACTTAGCCGCCGCGTCTCTGTATACATTTCTCACCATACGGGATGGTGGATGACACTGGCTGATGAGTGCAAGCGTTGCCACTGGTAACGGGCCACACAGCGTATCCTCCATCGTTATGGGAACTGACAAACAGGCTTCCAGAGCGTTCCCACACCAGGCTCTCCAGCTGCTGCAGGAAGGTCACCACAACCACCAGACATGAACACACAAGGAGGAAAAATAATAATAATGATGATGATGATGTGACCCAGCTTTGAGCTTTAAGTACCTGCTTGCCGAGGAACAGCTGGTCAGCGTGGCGAGTGCCCAGATCCCACAGGACCACCAAGCCGCGGCTGTAGCCAATCAGAATCTTCCCTGGCTGCTGAGGATGCTCTTGGAGGGATTCAACTGGACCCAATGACTTCCCACATCTGTACTCATCTGGCAGGCTGTGCAGAGAAAAAAAAAAGGAAAACATCTGTTAACTTTTGCCAGGATGGGCTTTGAAAGCTGCCCAGGAAATGATGAACTCTGATTAGTTAAGCAACCCGTTTAATGTGACCCCTCCATTATAATGTACATTATAATAACCTGGTTTGACTAGGCAGCAAGTGTGTACATATCCACAAACATATGAGGGAAACTATATGTAAATTTCAAGATGAAATATTTATATTAGTACTTGGACAAATTGAAGCTTGTATCATCTTTAAAGGCCCAAAAATAATGTAAATAAATCATTAAAAGATCCAAATTACCATGACATCCATGATCAAAACAGGATGCAGCAACAACTCCACAGAAAGGGAAAGATTATAGAGTATAAACTCTTAGAGGTGATGAAAATGGCAGAGCTTTTCACTTTACTCCAATTTCCAGAAAACGGTTCAAACTCGTGTGAAATGATCAAAGAGCAGAAGCCATCTGTGAGAGACGAGGCTACAACGCAGCCTGTCAACATCGAGATGAAGCAGAGTTGCAGCTTGTGGATCAGACAGACATTCCTCTGAGGCAGCAGAGGAATGTGGAGCAGGACACACCCTCGAGATGTCAGAGGATTCCCTCGGCCAAGGAAAAAGATAGAAGAAGAAGGAAGAGGGAAAAAAGCAGCAGAGAGGGGAAGAAAACCAAACCACTGAGGTTTTCTGGACTCTTCAGTATTGATGAAGCAAAGCCAGCCCGTCCACTCCTCCACACACACACACACACACACACACACACACAGAGACAAAACATCTGACTGCTGGGATGGAGCTTGCCGAGGAAGATCCTCTCCGCACGCAGAGAGGCAGAAACATTCCTAACAAAACATGCCATTGTCTCCGCCTGTGTGCTCACTAGTATTTTTAGGGAATCCAGCATCCTGTTGCAGAATCCTGGTGATGCGCCATAGACCTGTGTGTGTGTGTACACGTTTGGATATTCAGCTGAAACACTTCCCCGACCGGAACACTGAGTTTTGGCAGCTGGTACAAAGCGTCACTGTCTGAAATCTCCATTCGTTTGCACGCACACGCACACGCGCACACACGCGCACACACACACACACACACACACACACACAGAGCTTATCAAGGCCTTCATTACGCCTCAGTCCTGCTGGCTCCTCTCTGCCAGCCTACGGTAATGAGGGATGGCTAAGCAACAATTTTTTAAAAAGGTATCCTAAACTATTTTATTACCGTTGGACGTCATCGACAAACCAAAACCCGATTCTGACAGAGAAAACATCTGTACTCATCCACACGCTCATCTGTTAGCATACGACTACAAATTACAATTTTTTTTTTTACATTTTTGGTCAAATAAGGTAAAAACAAGTTTTAAAAAAGGAAGAATGTCTGTCTGTGCTCCATCAAACCTCTTAAACCTGACCTGCCTGCTGCTGCGAGGAACAACACTGATATTTGGATCAGCAGATGTGTGTGTGTGTGTGTGTGAGACCTGCTCAGCTGGACACGAGCAAAGGAGACTGAACCGGTTAGAGTTTAACAGAAACCATACTGTGATAGACAATGAGGGAAAACAAGGACAGATTGGACAGGATGTTTTAACAGCTAAATATTACTTTGGTTTTCTGCAATGTCAAGAAATTAAGCATCACTTAGAGACATGTAAAGAAAACAAATAAGAATGTCATTGAAATAAACAAACATTTCAGCCATTTATTTAATAAAATTATAAATGTGGCAGACTGTTCAGACTACTGGACTCAATCTTATGAATAAAATGTTTAGTGGAAGGAAAAGCAACAGAAACAAGAGGAGCTCAACCTCAAAGAGCTACTTCACATGTATTTAGGACATTAGCTACAAATGCCACGTTTGTTTTATCAAACCATCTTCAGAGATGTCAAAAGAAGAAATGACTGGATTGTTGCTCAAGGTTTCCTTTTCTGTTAAAATTTTATTTTAAATTCATGCAAAAGGAGCCCAACCAAGTATTGAGTGCATGTACTATACAGAATATGGACATACTTTTCAGTATGCTCATATTTCTATATTATATTAGCAGAAGTAAACACTTAAAATATATCACTGTGTGTGTACAATAATCTAGAAACTACACATTCCACTTTTTAAATTCACTTCTTAGTCATATTCTAATGTAGAATAATGCAGCCGACACTCATGTTTTCCTTCAAACCTAAATCTGGACATGATGCTCATATTCATCTTTTTATATTGAGCTTCATTTATGAACAGAACCTGCTTCTCATTTCTCAGACTGTCTCACCTCTGGGTGACCTGGTCCTGCAGCAGCGTCTGGCTCTCCCTTAACTCGAGGCGGGGCAACTCCACAAAGTAAACGCCCCCTCCTTCTGTTCCGACGCAGAGCAGGTCACATGACTTCAGCAAGAGGAGGACAGTCACATGCGTAGCGCTGGCATAGAGAGCAAACAGATATTAAAAATTAAAAAGCTTAAAGACAATCAAGCTACAGTCCTCCATGGTTTTTCTCCTCCTACCTGCAGCTCTCAATCCCAGGCCTTCCAGGCAGAGTGTAATTATCCACGTGTTTAAGACAGACTCCGCCCTCTTTCTTTGCCCCACCCACTTCTCTGTGGGGCCCCACCACCAGTTCCCAAAGGTGAATCGTGTTGTCATCCAGCAGCGACAGGAGACGACCCTAAGACACAGAAATAACGCCATGAAATTCATTTGAAAGAAGAAGAATATTACAAACAGAAAGCAAGATGATGCTTTTTTTGCTTGTTTTTTTCCTCCAACGCTCACCTGACCAGGTAGGAAGTGGATCTGAGTTACAGCGGTGGTGTCTTTGTGCAGCCCTGTGAACTCGACTCCTGGAGCCCCGTAGCTGAAAGGTTCTGGTCAAGGAAATCCACAACTCAGGAAGCATTTCTGTGTTTATTTACTTACAATAATTAAAACTAAAAATCTGCTATTCTGGTGTCTTGAAATGACACTAGAAGCTTGAACATAGCAAGGTAGAAGAAAAAAAAAAACAGACAAGTCTCTTAATATTAGATGCTTAGATTAATATTAATATAAAAATAGTGATTACAAAAATTGTGTCTAAATTTCCAAAAAGCATTAGGAGTCATGGTGTTGAGTCAACTTCAACCTTTTTGAGCTAATTCTGTTTTAACTAGCGACCTGTGAGTATCATGTAAACGGACTGAAATTAGATGAAGTTTTTCTGTCACTACCAGGCATTCAAGTTCTCTTTACCCATAAAAAGCTCACAATTTTTTACACAAACACACAAATCAGGAGGTCAAATGGAAAATATTCAGCACAATAAACAGTTCAACAGGCACGGACTTTGGCTGATTTTAATTTTATTTTAAGTCCATGTTTCAAGAAGAAATTTAATGTTATGCAACTACTAAAACTGTAATGTGATCAATAAGCTATAAATAATATCCTTTTTTTAATGTAAGCAAGGAGATCATATTTTAGTTTATTAAGATTTCCTTCTTTTAAATATGATTCTGTAGGACAAGTCATTTTTCTTAATACCTGTGCGTAATCCAATCAAATTAGCCAAAATGCCAAGTTGCCTGAACTTGTGATGGACTGTTTTAAAAGTTGTGTTCAATAGAAAACTCATAATTTTACGTGGTAGGTAGGAAGTTTCAACTGCATGCAGAAATGTATTGAAATGTGTGCAGAAACTGAGGGAATAAGTTTGTAAGCATAAAGTTTAGCACCTACATTTTTGTTCATTTCTGTTTAAACACTGCACATTTTCTTTTCCTTTCAGTTAAATCTCAATGCATCACAGTGCACGACATTGCCAATGACAATCAGACATTTAACATGATGGCAATTATCCGTGTTTATAATTCAAGTCATTGTGATGGCATCTCACACAAAGCTGAGCTCGTAAAAGTTACAAAAAGAAAACAACATGTAAAAATCTGGATCTAAATGGATTTGACATTTAAAGCCTTCGATAGAGAACATTACTAAGGTCACGATGCACAAAAACAAAAACTGCACATTCCCCTACGCAGTTCATTAATATAATTATACTCTCCACATAATTTCTATGCGTGAAAATGAGGAAAATATCTGGAAACATTCTCAAGGCTCCTTAAAAACAAAAATAGAAACAAAATAAACCAACCGCACACTGAAGGTTACAATCCTAACCTGTAAACTCGAAGTGCCTCAGTGCCATAACAGGGGAGAAAGTGGAGCACTATAAACAAAGATCATAGCAATTATCAGCACTAGATGACGCACACGCCTGAACCCACTCGTCTGTACGTTTGAGAATGTGTGTAATTAACAGGGATTTTAACAGTCCTCTTTTTCTTAGCGTACTAAATAAAGCAGAGTTGATCAACTTGGGACGACACTTAAAAACTAGAGCTGCACACTTTGAGAGACGTGTGCAGCTCTCGTACTTACACACTCGGACCCAATGCTTACACAAGCCTGTGGGAATCCAAGCAAGTATAAGTTGCTCATTTTTGTTTTTGCACACAATCATATTGCTGTTTACAAGCCGTTCTGAATCGTTTAGGAAAAAGGCGATGTATTATTAAGAGTCCGTCTTTTCTGCTCCTATTCTGTGCGTTCGGATGGAAATCAACCTCCATTTTCCTCGTTAGTTCTCCTTCTTCCCTCCATTTTGTGTGATACCCATAAGCTAAAAGCTGTTGCCACTATTCCCCAGTGTTTTAACTCTGACCTTACTACTACTCTCTTACCGCTTTCTAGTCAAAAGAGAGTAGTAACCCCTTAGTTTCCACCTCATCTCCGCCGGCTTGGTCTTATTTTACTTTTGAATTAAATCCCCACCTATTTCGCCGCAACCCGCTGCTGATCCCCTGGAGGCCGATGAGAGTGTTATACTGGGATTCCTGAGTGTTGTCACTTTCTGGCTCTGCGTTTTATTCACCACAACAACACATGCCTCAAACAGCTGGAAGTCGAGGTGTCGGAGGAACGTTCGGGTCACGAACCGCAGCTCCAGACAAAAAAAAGAAACACCAAAGGGCTGATGGAGATCAGCAATTAGTTCGCAAGAGACATACGGCGGACTGGACCATTCAAAGTCCAGATTCAGTTCAAATCAGACTCCTTAAGACTTGAAAAGTAAATATCATTAGGGACTCTCCATTGAAACACACACAGCTTGAGCTAATTTGTCAGTAAAATCTGCAAAGCTAATAAAGACAAATCACAAAAATAACCAGCAGCTATAACTGTGGCAAAAGACTTGGACTCACTTTATTGTCATTGCACAAAGACACAACTGTGAATTTGGAAAAGAAATGTCGTTGCTAGGCTACTGGAGTACAAATAATAATGAAAAACTATCAGTGTGACAATAAATTTCGACTCTGAAAACAGTTGCCAGAGTTTTTACATTTGTAATTGTTAACAAAAACGGTATACTTTCACTTGCTCCAGTACATGAAATGCATTGAAATGGTCAAAGGGGATATTTTAACGAGACGCTGTATTTCCACAAGTGGCAAAAGTCCCACCGTCTGGCCTTCATAGCCATCTTAGAAACCGAGAAACTGCTTCAAAAGTTCGTCCTGTGAAGATATGTTTTTAAAATATCCCCCGTCTATTCATTTTAGTCAAACCACTTCATATCAGCTGGAATCAATGAATGAGATACTCATATTTGCGGCATGCCAACGAAGAACAAAGCAAAAACCAAGAAAGTTGAGGGTTTATTATTATTTTTTTTTTATTTATCGGATAGCTTGACAGAAAGCAGATGGTCTTCGGTGGTTGGTTTGTACTGCAGCAAAGTTATGTTGGCCACAGCTCACTCATCACAAATCTATATGGCTCCCAGCACACATCAGACTGGAATGAAGGCAGGGGGCGGGGGAGAGAGGACCACTAATGACTATTTGGGAGTCTGTCACAGCCTTGACTTTTAGCCGACCTGTGGCACCTCTGGCAGGACCGAGACTGCCAGGATCTCCACTTCCAATCGTCTTCATACCTCACAAAAAAATAAAAAATAAAAATAACCCCTCTGGGAGGGAGGCGGCGGTAAAGATAATGAGATATTTTTACTGCCAGTCAGAGAAACATGAAAGCTGAAGTGTGACACATGATTCATGACTCTGGGACATGCGCGCACACACGCTCTCCATCAGCTTCCTGGTTGCATTGTGTCAGAGAACAGCTGGTGGAGGGATTCCAGTCATGATGTCAGCACTTCCTCACAACGATTAGGCCTCTGATGCTCTAACACCTCATTAAATGTCTCAGTTTGTCTGATTTAAGCTCCTTTCCCCACCAAGAGCTGTGCTTATTGGTCAGCATTACAAATCCTCGCTGCTGACACTTCGCCTCCGTTTGTCATCTTGATGCAATCTAGGTTTATAAATTAGACTAGTCTCCACAAATCTATGATCAATTATTCCATCTGAAATGTTTGGCTTAGGGCTAAAATATAGGTCATGTTTTTCTGATAAGACAATTAAAATCATTAATTATCTATATTAGAATATTTTTGCAATAAAAAAAACAATTGAAAGTCGAGGCATTTCACAGAAATCCAAACAAACAAGACAAAAAAAAAAGTGTCAAATTACAAATAGAGAATGATACAAACACCTTGAAATACCCTAAACTAGTTGGACATCCAATTGGCTGCATTAAGATTCAAGATTATTATGTACCCAATGTGACAAGGGACCCTGCAACACATGAGTCAACAATACAGTCTCTCCCATTCAGACTCCAAACTTTATCCCTATGCAAACACGCCACTCACACAGTGAGTCCCCTAATCCGTCACCCAGACCTAACCAGGTCTTAATCCGCACTCCTTACCCTCGACTTATCCAGAAACTATTAAAACTAGGTGCTAAAATGTAAACAAATCACTTTGAGCCATTAGGGAGCAGAATTATGATGAGATGTATGTATATATATCTTAAAAACAAACAAAGACAAGTGCAGTTGGCCCGGTGATGCAGAGAGAGAGCAGGGATAAAGCGATTTCACGGTCTGAATACCGACAAACAGAGGGCATTGTCCCCCTTTTGGACTCTCAGCCAACACCCTCGAACACACACAGAAATGTGGTGGAATACCGAGATGGACAGGAAGAGAGGAAGAGGACAACCCCCCGGGACCTAAGAGTCAGTGTACAAGCTGACCACACACAGAAGGACAACTTAGCTTCAAGGGAGTGTGGAGAAGAGTTTCAGGGGCGTCTGGAAAGTTTAACTGGTTTGTTCAAAGTTCTTTAGAAAACAAAAGAGTCATGTCTGTCAGACCGGCTAAACAACTACACCCACCAAACAAACCCATCTCTTCTGAAGATTTCGTTAAACACAAGCAAAACTTTTATCAGCTTTATGAAAAGGACTACAGATGCATTACAAAGACATTTGTCATTTGAGAAGCATTTTCCCTAAAGCTACACGTATTTTCTACATTGAACGCACTACAAACTGCAGACAGTAAACACAGATTTAGGTAAAATGTTCAAATTGTTTAAAAAGAAAAATGGAGATGCTGCAGTGGGGTGGTGGTAAAGCACTGAGTACTCGACGAAGCTGTCACAAGTTCGAGTCCCAGCCTGATGACGGCTGCCGCATGTCTCCCCTCTCTCATTACCCACTTTCCTGTCTGACCACTCTCAAATAGGACGCTAGAGCCAATAAAACCTTCAAAATAAAATGTAAAACCAGTCTCACGGTACGGTGGATCCCCACCTAGTTCAGTATTCGTTGAGTCACATGTTCACGGATTTTTCTCTGAGGCGCAACTCCAAATTATTGACGAACAAACCAACTAATCATTCTTTTTTTTTTCATACAATTCTTCTCAAATATAAAAAACATGCTTTTTATAAATATATCA